AGGGGGTCGGTCTGTCCTCTGGTCCTTCCCTCCCCCATCTCTGCACAACCTCATGCCTGGGTGTCCCTGACCCTCCCACCTTCCTACCCACTCGGTCCCCTCACGCTGCCCAGGACGCTTCCTATGAACCCAGTCCAAGATGTTCCTAATTTCCAAACCTTTTCTCCGCATCAGAATGGACTTAAACTCCGCCAGTCAGGACCCTCGTAGGTGACAGGCCAACGAAGCTGGCAATTCCAGCAGACATTTCAACACCTGGTGCTATAACGAGCCCTCAAACCTCAGCAAACCAGCGTAGAGGAGGAAGGCTCCGAACAGCAACAGCAGCTCCAAGTGGCTGTCAGGCAGCAGCCGTGGTGGATGCAGAGCTGGACGCCCGGCTGGGGCTAGTCTAGAACGGGCCGTGGCGGCGAGGATGGGCAGGTCTGGCTGCTGTGGAAGGAGGCCGTGCTGGCCCAGCATCCTGGGATGGCGTCCCGCCCTGTCACCTAGCAACAAGGTGATGTGGAGGAAACACCAGCCTCCCTGGGGCTCCGTGTTGTCACCTTCGGAAGGACAGTAGGTGACACCTCCTTCTCACATGCCTGTGGGCATGAAATGAGGACTGACAGCCGCAGGCCACGAGACTGACCACCGGGGCTGTTATTCTGTGTTCACTCGATGGGGTGTGTGCAATGATCACCACTTTTGCTTCTTTCCTGTAGTTGCTGCGGCTGTTAAAACGCCATCATCTTCTCATTAGGATCTAATATATCATCACATTTCTGTAGTTACAAGTCAAAAGTGAATGTTGATATTTATTTCTGTAATCAAAAAGGAAACACCTATTAATGCCGTAAGAAACTGTGGCCTTTGGTGATTTGAAACCCACGAGGGTGGACTCTTAGACCACGTCTTCTCTGACCTGGTAAATCTAGAGCAGTTTCTGCTTTGAAGAAGTGTCTCTTCTTTCTGTATTTGTATTCTTGTATTTTATTCATTTATTTTTTTTAGTCAGTTTTCTATTTGCTAGCCTACGGCCTATTTTAATGGATAGAGAGAACAGTAGTAACACAATCAGGCTTAGGACTAGACACTGAAAGAATTAAAAGGTGCGTCAGACATATTTTTTAGAGACAAAATACTAAATGAAGCCAGTGCTTGTATTTATAAAGTTATAATCCACAGAGTTCTAACCACAGCAAATTCCGGTCGTGAAGATGGAGAGAAAATACCATACATGGCTCCATTTTTTTAAAGAAATGTTTTTGGTTTTCTAATTGTAGCTACTGAGCCTAAATTGTTTATAACAATCTGATTCAAAGGAGATAAAATTCAGACCTACGACGTTTTACAGCACTCACACAGGAATCCAAAAATGCATGTAATTACAGTAAAAACAAGGTTCTTATTTGATGAGGAAACACTGGGGAGACCCTGAGCCACTGAACCGCCTGTGCTTCTGGGCGCAGGTTCCTCCCCTCGGAGGGGCGGGCCGGGTCTCCTCCAAGTTCCACCCAGGTGCGGCCATCCTGTGAGCCCCTCCCAAAGGCAGACCCCTGGGCCGGCCCCCACCAGCAGGTGCCTTTCCCTCCTGTTACCGCACAGCTTTGCCAGAGAAGAGGCTCGAGATAGAAAACCAACAAAGGACACTGAGATACCTTGGCCTTCTCCTTAAACCTCTGTCTGAGTAGCTGTGTTCTTTTATTTAGAATGTGGGCCTGAACTTTAAAATAACTTCCTGGTAAAATGCCTTTTCTCATCACAAGTGCACTCTCCCTGTTTCCTGGATCACCGATCACATGAAGAACTCCTCCACTGACTCCTGAATCTCTTTGGGTTGGCAATTGAGTTTGTGGACTGTCGGTTCTATGTTGCTAATGCCTGGCTGGCCCAGAAAACTCTGGCCTGTTTCCCGCAGCCCACCTCCACACGCGGTCCATTTGATTTTGAGCCTCAGCAAAGACGTAGCTAGAAGGGTAAACTGCCTGAAAGCGCAAGATCAGAGATGAAATTCCAAAAGCTCGCGGTGAATGATTTTGAATTCTGGAGGCTGAAGCTTGGAAGCTGCTTGCTGACAGGCTGCCTGATGGATCCCTTCCATCCGCCCACATCATTAAGGCTTGACTTTATCGCACATGCGTTTTGAAAGAGTTAAATACCAATAACTTGAAAACGTCCATTAACCCGCCAGGATTTTCAGCCTCTCATGCAGTCTCTCCAGACACCCCCAGTCTCACTTCTGGGGTCCGGCATCCTCGGGGGGCATGGAGGCTGGTGACCAGGAGGGAGAGCTGAGCCTTGCTCCGTCGACGCTAACCCAGTGTCCCTTGATGCCCCAGATTTCTCCTACAAGTACGCAAAGTCCTCCACGTCTGCTGTGTGGGCCCGGCCTCCCCGGAGACCTGCCACCAGGCGTGCAGGGCTCCTTCACTGTGCGGGTCTTTATGTGGCACAGAATTCTCGTGGTTCCAGTGAGGGCTCAGGCCTGGCTCGGGCCGCCAGCGTCACCCAGCCAGTAACAGCAAAGGCCCAGCCTGGACCAGGAGGTATAAGTTCCCCCGTCACTGTCACCCTGATGTGGCTACGCAGCAAGGGGCGGCCTGCAGGGTCCAGGTCTTCAGAAGGGAAAGGACCCCCCAGCTTGTTCACAGGCTCCCTCGCCTGTGTGGCTGGGAGGCCGTGTGAAGAAGCGTGTCCACCTTCCTTTAATCTCCTTGTAAAGCGATAAGGTCGCCTAGCAAGGATTGGAGACATGAACAGGTGTATGATGATTGGAAAGCTGAGCCATGTCCCTTTTCTGTGTGACACTGAGGGGAAACCACTTCCTCTTTGGGGCAAATGAGTTGAAGCTCATCCTGAGATTCTGAATTTGGAGAATTAATGAAAATCATGCATATGACAAGTGTGGTAGGAAGGTGGGGAGCTTCATAAACTGTGGGCCTCGTCAGCATCAGGCTCCCGTGCAGCCTTCACTGTGGTTTAGATGCCGGGGGTGCAGGGCATAGCCTCTCTGCCCTGGTCTCTCCTTTCACTGACCCTCTCCTACTCCAAGCTCTTCACGTGACGGGAGAGAGTGAGAAGGAAACCAGGATGATGCCACCTCTTACTTGACTTGGCTTCTGCCTAGAATCAACTTTCAAAATGCTTCCAGGGGCTTCACGTGGCGCCTTGTTTTCAACCACAACATGTAGGTTCATCTGGTGGTTGGTTCTTGGTGGGTGCAGTGGTGCTGGTTCCCCCAAAACGCCAGTTTCGTGCAGAGGTAACGCAGCCTGGTTATCTAGAGGCTGCTTCTCTGATCAGCCCACGAATATAAAGACAAAAGTGCATAAATTGAGAGGAGAATATAAGTCACACTTTCAAGGGCTCCTGAAGGCAGGGGTGCCTTTGAGTCTTGAGAGCTTAGCCCTGAGCTGTGTCGGGCGTGCATGTTGGGTGAACACTTCCCTGGGATTTCTGATGCGTTCGCTGGTTTTGTTTTCCTCCCTCTTGACGCTCTTTGGGAAAACGCATATCCTTATTCTAAGGAGATTGATTCCTAGGAATTATCCAGAAGAGATACAATATTTGTTTGGTGCAATTAGTGGTGCTCTCTGACTAATACACGGCAAATTTGATTTGCTGAGGTTTGGAGAGATGTGTTAGATTTCAAAACTGTGCTGGTTCTGTGTGTGGGTTGCAAGGATGCTGTTCTCTGTTATTGATGCGCCGATGTCCAAACCCGGTTCACCAACAAAAGCCTGTTCGAGGAGACAGCACAAAATCCATAAAGAAAACACTCGGGGTCCCTGAGTCAGCTCTGAGTCAGCTGGCATCTTCTACGAATCAATACGCCTCATTTCCTCATTAATAAGCTTTAAAAAAAGTTCTTCTTACTCTGGTTGATTTAATCATAGAAACAAAGAGTATATTTGAAAATGGCAGGCAGTTAACCAAATCCAAACTAAAGTAGGGGAGGGGTCCATCTGAGAATCCATTTAGTATTATCTATATTTTGCAATATACGTGGTAGCGGTCACGTAACATAAGGGAGAGAGATCGTCCCAGCTGTGCCTTTAGTGTTGAACGGAATACATTTCAGATGAAACACGGGGGTTTCCTGTCATTTTTAACTTGGCCTTTTTTTTACTGAGTTTTCCTAAATATTTTTTGAGATTGGATATGACACTTGTTCACATGTTGTTTCCGCCAGCTCACCACAGTTTTCCCGAGGCTGTGGGGTAGTGTGTCACAGTGGCACCGAGTCATCAGAGTCCTGCTTTTCGTGGGCATCTGGTCGCTGCGTACTTTCCCCACCCACCCTCTCCAACCTGCTGAGATACCTATAAAGAATCACAGCACATCAGAGTTCCCTTCTAAGCTTTTGCTGGGGCATTCCTCTTGCTTCACAGTGTATCTTGATAAGTTGTCGCTAAGGTAGAAAATTCAAAACCACTCCCAGCCCCAACGTGTGCTCCTGATACTGACCGCCCAGAGTCAGTGTCGGCGCGTCCCTGCAGGACCCTCCAGAACCTCGGGCTTTCTTCTGTGCTGCCCGGGCATCACTGTGAAAACAGCTTAAAAGCGATTGGTGTGCACATCTGCTTCCAAGTCGGCGACGAGTTCACGAACTCTTAGAAAACCTAGTCATACGATGAGCATAATTATTATGCATCTGGTTGGGCTGTCAATAAAGAAGGCCAATAAAAGAAGTGATGCTGAAAATTTAGAAGTAACGGAAAAGTAATATTTTAAAATTATACTTATCCTATAGAGTGGTTGCTTTGAATATTAATTCAGGAAATTCGTCGTTTGCAGCAGGCGTTTTAATGGGCTACCGTGCTGTAAGCGCACCGCGTTTTCTTTCTGCTGCCACTGTCCTTGGACCTGCAGGTGGGCCCCCGGGTCCTGTGACGTCACGGGCTGGGCATAACACGTGCCCTGAGCTCGCCGTCCGCACTGTTGCAGCTACAAGTTCTAGCCACTTTTTCCTCTTCTTTTCTTCTTTGTCCTTTTTTTTTTTTTCATTTTCTTTGCAGAAGGCCATCAGCTGAACTGTCACAGCGCTCGCATAATGCAGGACGCGGAGAAGGATGACAACAATAACGACGAGTACGACAACTACGATGAGCTGGTGGCCAAGTCCCTGCTGAACCTGGGCAAGATCGCCGAGGACGCGGCGTACCGGGCGCGGACCGAGTCAGAGATGAACAGCAACACGTCCCACAGCCTGGAGGACGACAGCGACAAGAACGAGACCCCCGGCCGGAAGGGCGAGCTCAGCCTGGACCTGGACAGCGACGTGGTCAGGGAGACGGTGGACTCGCTGAAGCTGCTGGCCCAGGGCCACGGCGCGGTGCTGGGGGACCACGCGGGCGAGCGTGGCTACGCGGACGCGCTGGCGCCGCCCGAGAGCAGGAGCCTGAACTACACGACACTGGGCAAGGCCGCCAACAACGGGCTGGCGGAGAAGCTGGTGGAGGAGAGCGACGAGGAGGTGTGTCTGAGCAGCCTGGAGTGCCTGCGCAACCAGTGCTTCGACCTGGCTCGCAAGCTGAGCGAGGGCAGCCCCCAGGAGCGGCCCCCGCAGCCCGGTGCCGGCCCCCGCCCACACGGCCGCCAGGACGACGACTTCCCAGGGAGGACGCCCGACCGCAGCTACTCGGACATGATGAACCTGATGAGGCTGGAGGAGCAGCTGAGCCCCAGACCCAGAACTTTCTCCAGCTGCGTCAAGGAGGATGGGTACCGCGAGCGGGAGGACGACGCCACCTCCGTGAACTCGGACAGGTCGGAGGAGGTGTTCGACATGACCAAGGGCAACCTGACCCTCCTGGAGAAAGCCATCGCCCTGGAAACCGAGCGGGCCAAGGCCATGAGGGAGAAGATGGCAGTGGAGGCGGGAAGGAGGGACAGTCTGAGGTCCTATGAGGACCAGTCACCGCGACCGCTCCCCGGGGAGGAGAGGAAGCCTAAGTCCGGTGACAGCCATGTCAAAAAGCCATACTATGGTAAAGGTAATATTTCTACCTAACGTAAGTTGCCTCATGAAAGCGTGCGCTAGGGTAAAGCTGTCAGGGGTATTAGAGGCTACGATGCAGGGGGCGCATCCCACTCCATTACATCACGCACGCATGTTTCTTAGAGTTGATTCCAGAGTTATATTTTGTGATTACGTCTCTGAAGAGCAAATGAAATATCTGTCTGAGAAATACACAAAGCAGCTGGATAACATGACGTTTCAGTGGAAAACGCATGCCTTGGAAAGATAGGGTCAGAGCACAAGCCCATCATGTGAGGGAAAACATTAGGGTGAGCCTGTGTTCTTACAGGTGACCTGCAATCTATGTGGAGTGGCGGGGGTTTATGTGACAAAAAGTCCATCAGGGATGAAGCACGTATTGGGTCAATTGCATTGAGTAGGTGGCATCGTGATTTATAAAATGATCATCAAATGTCAGTTATCGATGAAACCTCCCCCACAGAAAACACCCCTGACAGAAATTGAACCGTAACAGGATGACTGATAGCGTAAGACAAGGGCAGCGACTGCACGCCCATTACCTTAAGGTAGTGAGGAATGGGAACCGTTTGCTACGCACGGCCTGGTGTGTCCCAGGCGCAGATCAATCACCATCCCTTTCGTATATTCACCCCCTCACTGTTCCATTCCATCATGGAAACAGTTATGGTGCTTGCTTTATTGGGAGACACTCAAAACCATGCACTGTGATAGTTCCAACCAGGTTTCCACCTGTGAATTTTGTGGGCACGTGTTTGCATAGATCTGTAAATTCAACCATATCCATACGGAGTCACTACACCTAATATGTATATTTCCACCCTGAATGATTGACTTCATGCTTCCAGTAACAGCTGCATCCACTTTCAGTATGAGGTGGATGATAATTTGACCTCGTGTAGGACCTTGTGAATATTTCAATTACAAGACTCTCAGAACTAAGTGAGAAGCACCTTCAAGGGTGAAATTGGTGATTCCCTAAATTCTTCCGTATTAGTACCAAAATGTTTTTCTGTTTTGTATATTGTTCCATTTCTGATGAATATTGAGTTTCCTTAGAATGAGGTTCAAGAATCTGGTTTGAGAATCCGTTGCTACGGAAACATCAAAGGATCAGAACCTCCTTCTTCTGCGGTTACACAGGTGTGTATTCTCCTCTCCATGTGTGCACGTACCTCCAGGGGCACCTTGGGCTTCGCTTTAACCAAACCCCAGGTGGAGATGAACCTTAGCCAGAGGCCCGTCGGGTTCTGGATGTGGCCGGTGCTTGGGTGCTGACCATCGTTTCAGTAAAGCAGGTGCAGGCCAGACTGAGGAAGGGTCATGTGTTAAAGGCCACAGAGTGAGGCATCAAGCTTGCTTTGGGTGTTGCCGAGACCAGGAGACGCAGCTTGTGTGTCTATAACTAGAGTGGAATCTCTTAGAAATCTTTAGTTGGATATTGGAGACTCACGTAGGAACTAGACACTTTTAGGAAGAAATAGTGTCCTTTCTCATGGGCTGGCTCAGGTGGACAAATGTGGTAGCGTTCTGTTTGGGATTCTGCAGAGTGCGTTTCAGGGCTGAGTCTGGGCAGGAGAAAGCAGCGCTTTACTTACTGAGGAAGCACGTGGGCTCACGTGGACCCGACGCTGCCGTGCCTTCTTTGGTCTCTGTGGTTCCTTTCAACCCACCAGCTTGCTGTAGATTTTGACCCATTTTGTTTTGTTATTCTTGTTATTTTCTTTTATTCTGTTTTTGGCAAGAAGTGGAATTCAAATCACTTGCTTCCCCTAAATAAATGGGGACAGCATGGAAACAAACAGTAAAACCCCCAAACCAGGATGTGCTTCTTTCCCCCGAAATGGGGGAAGGGTTGGGGATTCGGACTTTCCAGATGAGTCGGAAAGCAATGATTTCTGCCTCTCCCCAGTCTTTCCAGATCTTCCTCCTCTGATCAAAGTGAGTCACCGTTTCTTATCAGTGTGGTCCACATCACTTCCAAATTTCTTTTGAAGACGTCCATAGTTATATTCAAAACCAAATAAATAAAGCCAAGTAAGGACACCAAAATGGGGCAAAGAGATGAATGCCCTCCTTATTAAAAAAAAAAAGCTATGTGCTCTCTTACCAGCACGGGCACATAGCACATCACCAATCTATTGTCAGCTTCTCTGGTATTTTATTAAACATGGAGAGAACACTCACACCAATTCTCATTCATGCACAATCTTCTCAAAATGATTTAAATTATAAATGAGTGACCTTTCCAAAAGCTTGAGCTGAAACAAAAGAAGTTCATCACAGGGACCTCCCTGGCGGTCCAGTGGTTAAGAATCTGAGCTTCCAGTGCAGGGGGTGCAGGTTCAATCCCTGGTCGGGGAACAAAGATCCCACATGCTGCGTGGAGCGACCCAAAGATATTTAAAAAAAACAAGTTCATCACACAACGTCCTCTGTCTTTCTTCTCCTCAAGCAGCTGCCGGAAAGGGAGGAAGGGCGCAGCCTAAACACAGCACACAGTTTTTTCTAGACATCGTTGCAGGGTTTTTGGTTGAATCATTGGCCTGTTTGCTTGCTTGGTTGTTTAACGTTTGTTCCAAGATTTGCTTTCAAGATGAACTGGGATTGCAAGAAGGGAGAAAGCAAGGGGGTTGGGGGTGTTGGTGAAGGCAGAGGAGACACACCTCCACCAGGACGCAGGCATCGAGAGGAGAGTACACACTTGGTGTTTCCAAAACTGCAGTAGACGGAGCCACACGGTGTTTGCACAAATCTGCACTTAACTTCAGAACACTTTCGAAATCGTGAAATAATATAATTTGTTAGGAAACTGTAAACATACTCGTGAAAAAGAGTCACTTAATGATCACTAGTATAGCTTACGTTTTATCCTTTAAAAGTCCTTTATATCTAGTCTGTGGTTTTAAATTATATCTCTAGTTTATGACCTTAGCTAATATTTTCCTTGGAACTGTTACTGCGCACTTACTATTTTACATTTGCCTTCATTCAGTTGTACCGCTATTATTATGACATTACTCAAAAGGCAATAAGATGCTGAGCTTTTTGTTTGCACGTGTAAGAGAAGCTCCAATAAGATATTTAGAAGGGAAGTCACCACAGCATAGGTTTAGATTTGTCTTCAGAGATGATTATCTATAAATAATGGCGGGAAGCAGCCCATTGTTATATCTAGGACACTACCCTCAACGCCATCACCGGTTTAAGAGGTTCCAGGACCTTAAAGACACATTTCAGAGAATAGAATGTTAGCTAAAAATAAAAGGAGGGGTTTTTATATAAACATAAAAGTCTCTATATATGCCTGTGAGTCCTTTATGTGTTTCAAGTTCACATGAATGACTTGAGAAAAAAGCCCATAAAAGTTCCAAAATTTTTAAACCAATCTTTTTTCTTGATATAAAATGAATTCTTTGCCAAAAGTAAAACATCTATTTTCCAGTGATCATGACTGGCCTGATTAATGAGATATCACTATAAAAATATTAAAGCCTTAAAGAAATTTTAACTATAGCATCCCTGGGCCAAACTCCTAGGAACTGCCATCTATCGATCACCTGTGCACCTGGTTTTGAAAACTGGCTCAAAACTAGTGTTGCACACACTCCTGTGACTATTTGGTCGGGGTTTTGGGAGTTATTTGCTGCACATTTATGAACTGTGGTCAGCTCTGGATGTAGAAATAATTTTGTTAGCAAGGCCGTTGCATTTCTGGCATCTGCCATTTGAGTTTTGACCAAATGTCTGCTCTGCTCCTCCCCGACTGGTACTGCAGAGCCCACGGGCTGCCTAGAAGCATCACCTCTTAGTTTTGTGCATGCACGCACAGCGGTCAGAGCCTGCCTCTGGTTCCAAGTACAGACGAGGAGATCAAAACAAATTATTGCTCCAGCAGCTTCTGAAACATTTTTGATTGCCCATCACCTCTGTCAGGTGGGATTTCCACCATTTCGGTCATTTGCTTGCAGTGCCTTCTGAGAGTTCAGCTGGTCTTGAGAAAAGCGCTGAATTGGCGTGCTAAGGACAGTGTTGCAGGAGAAGAAGTGTCAGCACCAGTAAAACTGTGCAACTAGTAGCACATGCAATCAGAGCGCTCAGTAAGAAAGAAGCTCTGCTCAACAGCTTAAATGGCATTACGTTTCCTGGTTGGATGTCACAAAGCAGTTGCTGAAGGATCACGGAAACATTTTGTTCTCTGAGAAGGTCACTGTCTCATCATTATTTATGTTGATTTCTTTGAGCAACGGCTTATCATGTAACACACGGGAAACAATTAATCAAGAGTTCAGGTAGGGAGAGCCTTTTTTTCTTTAGTGTCGAAAGTAAAATATGTTATGATTCATGATTACACCCTTTAAGGTTAAAAATTCACCCCAAACCAAAGAACTACCCGCGGATGTCACAGTCTGTCCCCGACACCTGCTTTGTTTCTTTATTGATCAAGGTCTCTTCGGTTGTTAATTTTTCACATTTGTCTTCAGCTGGTAAAAAATTCATTCTATTGACACCTGTTGTCGCTTTTAGATCCCTCGAGAGCAGAAAAGAAAGAGAGCAAGTGCCCCACCCCCGGGTGCGATGGAACGGGCCACGTAACCGGGCTTTATCCGCATCACCGCAGTCTGTCCGGATGCCCGCACAAAGATAGGGTCCCTCCAGAAAGTAAGTCCGTGTTTCACCAGCGCCCTGGAGCGCGCACACCTGTGACTCGTTTCTGCATCCTCGCCTCTGTCATTTCCATCTCTGGTCAGTGCAACCTGACTTAGGTGTCCCCTCCTTGTCCGGGAGGGCAGCTCAGCCAGGACCAGGGCTCTACCCCGCCCCGCAGCCTCCAGCATTTCCTCGGCGTGGTCCCCATAGACCTGCCCCAGGACCCGGGCTCACCATCCGGTGTTGCTTTCTGCAGCTTGGGCCCCGAGCAGCCGGCCGGGGCTCTGGTCCTTACTTCATTTCTAACTTGCTCTGTGACCCCCAGGCCAGTCACTTTTCTCCTTTTCTCCTCACAAATTGTAGAACTGAATTTAGATAGTCTCTGAGCCATCCATGCAGCACTACACGGCTATGAATCCCTGAGGCAAATGGCCTCGAGATGTCTTTTGCCCACAGTTATCTGAATTTCTCCACTTCCGCGAACCAGTACTTACGTGTTACTGCATTTTACTTGTAAAATCTATTTCATGTTGTCCCGACATTTCTACACAGTAAAATCTTAAGTAAGAGGGTTTAACTTGGGTGGGTTCGGACCTTACACACCCGTTTTAATTAGTTAAGTTCTGAGAATATGCACTTGACCTATGGAGACGACTAAATTTCTTTTAGAACTGAAATGATGAGCCCTTTTTTTTTGTTTATCTTTCTCTCGGCATATAAGGTATGCCAACTATTTAGGTAAAGTTAGGATTGATGGCTCAGAAAAAAGGCACATTTTCAGAAATGGCTCTGTGTCAGATCCTGACTTCAAGTCTCAGGTGGTAGGGATTTTCCTCATTCCGTGAGACATGGTTTCTACGGGGCGGGGGGGAAATGTCATAGCTCAGCTTGTTTGTGACAATGACCAGCTGAGTGGTGATGTTGCTTCCCCATCACAATGGTCAGCTTTGGAAGTACAGAGAAAAGCTCGTAGCTTAGAAAGCAGGTTTAGCAGAGTGTTTTCAGGTGACATATTTGTAGAGGCTACTGTGGCTCCGGGTTTGCAAGTGGCCCCTGGCAACAGTAAAGCCGTGTTTCTCAGAACCGCCTTGTGGGCAAAGGCGCAGTGCGCAGTGTTGCGGCCACAGCGGATTGGAGAGGGGCCGCGCCCGTGTGTTACATGAGCAGGGGTAGCTCGCTTCACCCACAGCAGCTTCTGCCCCAGCACCCCCTGCGGCCGGGCACCCCGCTGGCTGGCACCCATCTAATCCCAATAAACCCTGCAGGGGGTATTGGCCCTGTTGTCAGATGAGGGACATGAAGGCCAGATGGTCACCGCCTCTCCCGGGAATCAGCACAGCACCCAGCGCCCTGAAGATGCTCAGAGCTTTCTGAGCTGGTCCGAGCAGAGAACTGAGCTCAGACCTAAACCCGCCTCTGTCCCAACCCTGAGCTCCTCTGTCTCCACGGAGACCTGGGTTTGACGTTTCGAGTTCAGTCTTAACAAGCTGTGTGTCGCGGGGCGGGTGACACGCTCTGTACTTCCTGTCCTCATCTACAAAGAGGGCATTAGGACCAAGCAGTAATGTTTGAAGAAGAAAGAGCTTCTTTGTGCACTTTTTCTTTGAGACATCAAAGTAGAACATCAGTGCCTTCTCATCTGAACAATCCTCCTGACTCCATGTTTTCACAAGAAACGTCTAAATGCAGTCAGTCAGACGAGGCCTGTGTCCTGACAAGCTGCACCCCGAACCTGCTCACACAGACCCGGTCAGATCACACGTCGCCTCACCTTTGCTCACGTGACGTGGGGACTCAGCTCTGACACCAGTGTTACAAACACCTCCCAGAGCATCCACAGAAAATCGTTTCTAAAGATTTACTCATACGCAATTTTTTTATAGGACCATAAAAATGTAAAAGAATTAAAGGACTCCATAGAAGATATGTCTCTCTTTTTCTACTTTTTATTTTTTAGCTTTTTCTGGGCTACTGTCCCCTACTTACATTTCTGTTCACTTGAATTCCACAAAGTAGCCTGCACCCAGTTTGAAACATACTGTGTTAGATACACAGAGGACACACCATGGATGAGACACAGCTCTGGCCTCCCCCTGGAACTCCCGACCCAGCCGAGGAGGGGGCATGAGACAGCATGGCCACAGCGTAACCGAGCTCCAGCCCCTGCTGTGGGCATCAGGGACCGTGGCCTCCCACAGACTTCACTGGGGCGACGCTTGTGCCGGTCCTGAGTGAGAGAGAAAACCCACGGCATTTTCTAAAAGCCGTCGTAACGGTCCACGCGGGAGACCAGGGCAGAAAGGAGGCAGTGGCAGAGGGACAGGTTCAAGGAACACTCCAGAGACAGGCTGGCAGGACAGGCCATGAGAAGGAGAAAGGGAGGGAGATTGAGAAGACGTCTAGGTGTCTCCCTGGTCCATGGCAAGGGCGATAAACCGGGCATCAAGCCAGGGCCACGTCCAATAGGGGAACGAACGCTTGGATTTTTCCGACTGAAGCTGGAAGTTGTGTGTGAGATTCCCGCAGGGTGCTGGAGGGCCGGCCTGGACGCCTGGAGGAGGCCAGGCATACAGGTGGCTCCGTCTGTCCTCCGCAGTGTTAGTAGAAACGGGATGAAACTGCCTAGAGAGGAGACCTGGACGGAGGCTGAGCAGCAGCCCAGGCTGGGGAAGGTGCAGAGGGCGGCGGGTTTGCCAGGCAAAGCTGACAGCTGACACCTGAGAGAGAGGCGCGAGCCGCAGAGGAAGCTGGAAGCGTGTAGGCACAGAGCAGCACAGATCCCGTCCCAGGGCCGGCCAGGGTGAGGACCGAGTAGGAGTCGGCAGGACAGGGCGGTCCACACCGCAGGCGAGCACGGAAGGCGCGTGCCATCCCCAGGGGAGTCTTAATAGTTGAAGAGTTTGGCATAAAAGGAAAGGAACGACGTATGTTAATTTGAGGGGAGGGCTGTGTGGTGTGATAAGAAGATGATAGGGTGTCAGGAAAGGATGGGGAAGGAAGGGTCATTCCCTGAAGGAAGAGGGTGGGCAGGTCAGAGCGCAGACTGAGGAGGGGAGGGAGGGTCCCCCGGAGAGGAGACCCCAAGCCCGCTCCAGCCGGGTCCCAGCACAGAGCGAGCCCCAGATCAGCTCTCCACAGATGGGGCATCGACCACCTGCACGGACGATGCAGCTGTGACCGCTGAAAAGATGAAACCAAAATGGACCTGGCCAGGGCTGAGGAGAGCAGGTGTAAGGGCCACATGGGGAGGAAATAGGAGGGAGGTTTCAGGGGAAAGAGGGAGGTTGTTCTGGAGATGAGAGAAACTGTAGGAAATAACAATTACGTAACGAGCTCGGGCAGATCGTGGTCACCTGCTGCCAGGTGACCCTCGCCACAGGGAAGGTCCAGCAGCCTCGCTACAGCTTGTGCTGTGGAGCTCGGAGACCGCTGGGCTGGGGCCCGTGCTGGGGGTCGGCTCTCTTGACCCAGCAGCACTGCTCACCCCCCAGCTGTCCCCACAGTCCAGAGCAGCGAGTGGTCGCTGAGGACCAGAAAGGGAAAGACAGGAGACAGTCCAGGCTCATGACCATGGCGGGGAAATTTGAATGCTGTCTCTGGGCAGTGGGCAGTAGCTTCCCTGCCCTACGGACCACGCCTTCCGTCTCCCACCGGGTCTTACATGGGGGCCTGCAGAGCACTTCCTCCCTCCCTCCCTCATAGAATAAATAAGAAGGTACCCAGTTCCTAGATGGAGAGTCATCATCTAATTATCTTCATTTAAAAATCAGGTTTGGGCTGTCTGTTTGCCCATGACCACCACAGCTTCCTAATACCGCGTGCTTCCAAAGCAGAGGCATGTGTTTAAAACCACCGGTCAATGTGCTGTTACATGGCTAATCACTGTTCCGCACTTACGGCTGGGAGTTCCACGGGGAGGCCCTTGCTTTCCTAGCCCACTGGGAGCAGTTCGTGCTCCCGCTTCCCGGGTCCATAGCTCCCGCCCAGCTCACCCCGCTTTGCGTGCCAGTCAGAGTCAGGTGGAGACAACCTTCTTTTTCTTCCTACATGTGTTTCCCTGCCCATGCCCATCACAGACGTGTGTAGGACTGTTTGTTGTGAACTAACCCAGCCTTTGTTAAAATGATTGCGTATTCTTGTGTTGGGACCATTTCTGTGTTTTAACGCTGGGCTGTTTTCTCTGCCTCTCCTTGTCAAGTTCTTGCCATGCATGAAAATGTTCTCAAGTGTCCTACTCCGGGCTGCACAGGGCGAGGGCATGTAAATAGCAACAGGAACTCGCACAGAAGGTAAGCAGAGCTCCTGCATTCTGGGCTGCAGGGGGGCAGATCCCCGGCAGCCATGTTCCCGTGCCCTCCGGAGGGGCGCGGCCCCTGCACGACCTGCCCCAGGGGACAGGAGACCTGGGCACTTCTCTCAGGAAGCCAGGGGGCGGGGAGAGCCGAGCTGAGCTGGCCCGGGGCACGCGGCGAAGCCCAACGCTTAGATCCCTCGTTTGCAGACTGGAATTTCTCAGCTGTCTCCCCCCACCTTGCTGTGATGGGGTGACAGTCCCCTGGCAGGTGTCCTCCTTGAGGTCAGACCCCAGGTGGAACCATAACCGTCTGCAACGACTCCAAGGAAGGCAGTAAGAGATCCGTTACCTTCCAGGGATCGAGGGGCCCTTCCTGTCTGCCTCAGACAGGTCGGCGACTAGAGCCCATGAGGCTGGGCCGTGTGTGACCCCAGCCGGCCGCCCCCGTGATCCCCGCTGAAACACTGGTCATCAGCGTGGGCATCACCAAAGTGCTGGCAGGGGTGCAAAGGTGCTGGTGGGAGAGCACACCGCAGGAGAGGGGGCTAAGCGGGCAGACCCGTCCCTCCTGGGCTATGGCTGCAGTCACACTTTTGCTCTGGACAAATTCTAGTTCCCTTTTCCTATCTTATTCTGACTTTCGCTAAGTTCCTTCTAATACTCAGTTCCTATCAGTTCCCTTTTTTTTCCAGTGGCCTGAAAGTGATTCTGTCAGATTTTTCTTTAACTGCCTATAGTTTCAGCTTCACAGAGTGGCAGAAAAGTATATCTAAACGGAGGAAACTCTTATAAGTTTCACCGTAATTTTTGCTTCTCCGGTAAATTTGGTTGCTTGTGTTAAATTTATAATGAACGAGGTCGCCAACCTGTGCCCTTCAGAGGTGCTCCTGGGCGTCCTGTGGAGAAGGGGGCATGACGGATGGGCTGGCGAGGTTCCTCCTGAGCCCTGTTCACGGGGTTTACAGCGTCAGCTCGTCCATCATACCTCCGCAGAATCGCACAGTTTCCAGACGTTGTGTGTGTGTGGATTAGCCTCTGCACTGTGTGCAGAGACACACACGGATACACAAAGAGCAGACACCCACACAGATACACAAACAGCAGACACCCACACAGATACACAAAGAGCAGACACCCACACGGATACACGAAGAGCAGACACCAGGGTTTCATGAAGAATCAGCTTAAACACCAAGGAGCACATGTGTTGTCTCTTCCCGTAAATATTTAGTGGCAGAAAAGCATTTTCCTGCAGCCTCGAGATTACTCTGCTTTCCTTCCCTTCTGTGTCTCTTCCTGGGAAGGTTGTAGACCGGCTGGTCACGCTGCATCCCACGTGCTGTGGACAGCAGCTGCCAGAGAGCCCTGTTCTCGGGCATTTTAGAAACCCATCCTACCCAAGCGGTTAATTCCCCAGCTCCAGAAACCGCAAGCGTCCCAGGACGGCAGTGGTGTCTAAAATCTCATGTTCCCTTTAACGATACAGCCTTTGTGTTGCTGTCATTGGAAAGGACCGCGTGTCCTGCACACACGGCACGGCCATCGGCATGGTCTGCCGGAGGCCAGGGGCAAACACCGTGATGTCCCCTGACAGGCTTGGGAGCCTGGTGCCGTCCAAGGCAGAGGAGGGGGATGGCGATGGGGTTGCTGTCGGAGTGCCTCAGAGGACACACTCAGATCCCTCCTGTCATTGCAGCCTCTCTGGATGCCCTATTGCCGCAGCGGAGAAATTGGCAAAGGCCCAAGAAAAGCACCAGAGCTGTGACGTGTCCAAGTCCAACCAGGCCTCGGACCGAGTGCTAAGGTACCAGACACACATTCGGGGTCCGTCCACGGCCGTCCCCACGGGCCAGGCGCCCAGTTGCTCCATGAGGGGCGGCCGTCCTCAGTGGGAGTGGAGGGGAGCTGGTGCAGCTAGAAGACCTCGCCGGGGTCACGACCCTCCCCTGCGGCTCCATCCTGGAGGCTGTGCGGGGGCAGGGCTCGTCACCCCCGGGTCTCCCTGGCCCCGTGTGACCGTTCGCACGAGAGAAGCAGACAGAGCTGTGTCTGGCTTTCTTTCTGGCCCTGACGCTTCACGATTCTGTAAAGGTTGGCTGAAAGGGAGGCTTAGAGAGTTCACGAGGTGCCCCAAGTAGCTTCACCTCGGTTTGGAGGCGAGGGCCCCGCTCCAGCCTGCGGGGTGGGCTTCATGTTCTCGAGGACGTCGGGGTAACAGCATCCCCACCCCCGCGCGCAGAGAAACCTCGTCCTCAGATGCTCCCGGCAGGTGGGCGGGATGGTGCCATTATCCCCCCTTGACAAGCGAGGAGACCAGGGCGCAGAGGGGTGAGAGGCCTTCCCGGAAACCTCTGGGTCCCGGGTGGCACAGCCGGGGACGCCGCAGACGCTGCCTGCTTGCCCCCTGGACAGTTAGGGTGATTATATCAGGAGGGCAGGTGGGAGAGGAGCTCTCTTCCCTCAGCGCTCATTTCCCGTGTCCCCTTCAAACCCTCATCCACATGCATCCTGCCTGTTTAGTCAGTTCACACCAGCCGCTTCCTCGTCTGTGTAAGAATCGTACCTGTCATCCTCATAGCTGCTGGTACCCACTGGGGGAGGCAGCACCTGTGCTGGGACTGGGCTCTGGCCCTGAGGCACTTCGTGTGATTCCAACTTTACTATTAAAAGGAGAGCAGTAAACACGCACACGCACACACGCACACGCACACACGCACGCACAACTTTGCTCCTGTTATTTCTTTGGCATAAATCACTTGGAAAAAACCACTAGGCAAACGATACGAACACGTCTTTGGTTTTTTCCTGTATTATTTCCCATCTTTCTGAAAGGAATTCACCACTGTCATTAAACTCCTTTTTATCCCGCAACAGAAAACTTCAAATCTTTATAGAAAATGAGAAATATTTCACTAGACAAAAATAAAAGCCATCTAGGAGCCTACCATTTAGAGCTAAACCCCCAATAAAGTCTGGGGTGCGTTCCTCTAGCTATTTTTATGCGTGGGCGTTGCCGACCTAACCTGCCCCCAGGGTGCCTGTAACTCACTCATCTTACAGGTGCGCTGACACCAAATACCTGACAGGCTCTCCCCGAGGGCCCCTCAGGCCACTCTTGGTTACTGGGAGCATGACAACCTCCCTGCCAGGCCCCCGGGCTGTGTGCATTTGAGAAGGAATAGTTATTAACCAAAGGAAAGTTTGAGCAAAGGGAGAGAGAGTTGAGGCTCAGGACTTCTGTTAATTTCCCTCCCCCACTGGGGCCAGACCCCCGAGAGCTGGAAGGATCCCCGTGCCCACATCCTTCTGATGTGGGGTGGCCGCGAAGTGACTAACGCCTGTCCTGGGATCAGTGTCAAGCTTACTTTCCACTGAGGAGCTCCGCTGGCCGCTTGACACGGACAAGATACATCTGAAATGGCAAACATCACCTTGTTCAGACAGAGCCTCCGCTCTGATCCCGAGCCTGTACTTCACAGCCTGGGACCCTTTCTTCGTGTCATGCAGTGGGAAACCTTCTGCCAAGTGACAACAGAACAGAAGATCGTGGGCCAAGACTTGCGCAGCTGCAGTTTTCTTCCCGAGCCTCCGGCTGTGTGGTGGGGAAGCAGCATGGGGACAGGCCCAGAGGGAGAGAAGGACCCCTCCCACCGCAGGGGAGGCGTGGGGCTGGGCTCTGCAGCCTCCGAGGGCTCAGCTCAGGCACTGACGTCCCGGCCGTGAGCCAGGTCTGGAGGACCTGGTGTCCATCCCCGTCACCTTCACATTCCCCGGGATGTCTCCACTCAGGGGACGCTCATTCAAGGCGGTAAGACAGGAAGGAAGGAAGAAAAGAATAATTTCAACCAACAGTTCAATTACTTAAGATTTTAAGAGTCTTTAGGCAGATTGTCTAACGGGACGCTGAGACTTAGGTGAGGGCTACGGGCCTGCCCAAGGCCGCACCCGCTCTGCAGCCTCCCAGCTCCCGGTCTCCATCACCTGCTCCGTTTTGTCATCAAGTGTCCCTTCCCGATGCCTCTGCTCCAGCGCACCCTCCATTGGAGCTGGTCCCGACCTCCTGGAGGCTCAGGGGTCAGGCCTTCCCCGGCCCAAGTCCCTTGGCCTTGCCTGCTGGACAAATGGGCAGAGTCCCAATCTGATCCCACCCAGCCCGTCCCCTACTGTTCCCCCAGAGACGTTCCCCATTGTTCGACTTTCCTGGCATGTTTCCTACACCACCCTGGATCTTAACCTTGACAAATGCCACCTTCTCCCTTAAAACTGAATGGAATCTCACGGCCGGGAGTGTCCTCCACTCGCCAGGATTCTCAGAAGCTCGGGCTCCTAAAACAAGATCGCATTCCAGGTGACCTTTGAAGGCAAGGCCTACAGCTTCATTCATTTATGAGCCCCCCCACCGCCCTGCCCATTGCCTGGCAAAATGCCTCAAGTAATAGACGTTTAGCTGATCGTTACATCATTTGGTTGATTTGAGAAGTAAATAGGCTAAATTAATGAAATCAAAGTAAATGTGTTGGTAACTTGATAAAGTTGTTAACGTAAGGGGAAGTTTTAGGTAAAAACTCTAAAGGAATCTCTGCACTCCTTTCTGTAAATCTAAAATTATTTCAAAAAAAGTTTAAAAATTCTGCCTATGGGATAGATAGATGGACACACAGAAGAAACAAGATAGGATATTAATGCATATGTAATTGCGAGTTCTTTCATTTAAATATTTAATTCCAAAGTATAGAAAAATGAATGACTACTAGGTAACAATCTTGAGGGTGCATGTTAATATTTGTCAAAATACATCACTACGTGCTCCGTTTTATCGTCCAGCAGGATATGTTTTTATCTAGCTTCATCTCCACGTCCTTAAGAGTATTTCTTTCATTTCCTCGTATTTCGTTAAGGGAGTTTCTTATTAGCTCACTTCACCGTGTGTAACGCATACTCTTTGCAAACCCTGCAAAAGAAAACGCACGGATGTGAGATTCTTTCCCACGTTCACATCTCATATCTTCATCGTACCTCCCCAGACTCGGAAAAGAAAAAGAAAAAAGGGCAAAAGGTTAAGTATTTCATTTTCTGTTCTTTTTATTTCCAAAGTTGGCACTAGCTGATTTGAGGTTATATCATTACAGCACACTTGGCTTCCGCTCAGGAAAATAGAATTGGGATTTTAGTGAGAGGTCTGGTTCCTTAACGCAGCTAAGCAGCAAGGCGCTCTAATTTTAAGACCAGCCGTGTCTCACGCGCAGCCGTGAGAAAGCCAGCTGTGCACTGTCTCTTTTTGCTTCCAGGCCCATGTGCTTCGTAAAGCAGCTCGAGATCCCTCACTACGGCTACAGAAACAGCGTCCCCACCACCACGCCTCGCTCCAACTTGGCCAAAGAGCTGGAGAAATATTCCAAGACCTCGTTTGAATACAACAGTTACGACAGCCATACTTATGGCAAGCGGGCCATAGCTCCCAAGGTGCAAACCAGGGATATATCCCCCAAAGGATATGATGGTAGGAGGTGCACCCTCTTATACATGAGAGTCACGCTTGCCGTTGATAATGTTGTTATTGTGTATATCCATTTCCTACAAACTGATGGAGCATGGGGGTCACTCGATGGGCAGCAAGGAAAGCACGCGGGCAGACTAGGCTGGTTCCTTCAGCCCCAGGTGTGGGAGAGCAGGCCCTGGGGGAGGGAGGGTGACGCCCTTCCCCCGTTATCCCCAGAGCAGAGCAACCGGCTGCTGGCAGGACGTAGAGGCAGACAGCCGTGGGCTCGTCTGCTTCATGCTGCTGCTGAGACGGTGTCCTCATCTTTACTAACTTCCTTTAATAGATGCCCCAACACAGACAAAACCAGGAGAGCCGGGGATAGCTGCCCTGAGCTCTTGGATTTCGTGAGAAGCTCTGTGTTCCCTCCCTGTTCTCAAGCTGGGATGCACGTCGCATTCATCTGGGGAGGCTTTTTAAATTCTCATGCCCAGGGCTGCACCCCAGACCAAGTAAATCAGACTCCCTGGAGGTATTCCCTGTGTGCAGCATTTTTAAAAAGTCAGCCAGTGATTCTAACATGCAGCCAGGGGTGCACAACTCCTGCGGGTCCCACCGGCCTCCTTCCAGCGGGCTCGGACCCAGGTGTGGGCCCTGGGGAGCCCCCTGTCCTGGCTTTGTAACTTTGTCACTGGCCTCACTTGTAGCTGCCACTACGAAAATAGAACCCATGAAACAGATAAACACTGCGTGCTTCACAGGACAAGATCGTTTATTTTAACTCATGCATATGTGAACCCACTACTGGGGTGTAAACTCTAAACAGACTAGTTCTCATTTCATCACAGAGCTAACTTGGTAAGTATTTGAAGCACAGAGGGGAAGACTGCGTTTCTGTGATCTTACTTATCTAACCACGCTTCTACTTCAAATTCTAGGATATATGGACTTAGTTGGCAGAGTTTACCAATGGGGATGTGGGTTGTATGAGTTGGGTGATTCAGGAGTCTCATCTTGGTGTTCACCAGCAGAGGTGAGGAGAGAGGGTTTGAAAGATCTCGGAGCTGCTCTCTGAAAAAGATATTTAATTAAAATCACAACACTCAAAAAAAAAAAAAAACATTTAAATTGAATGCTTGGGGAGTTCCAAAACCTTTTTACAATTCTACATTATTTTAGTCATTCTGTGCCTTAATAACAATTAATTTGTATGGTGAATGAAATGTAATATTTCTTTGATGTATCTCAGATTGATTACCCTTGCATGTATCAATTCTAAATATATAGGAACAAAGATGGAAGTGGGAAAAGGGAGTGGCTTAGGGTATAACAGAAAACAATTTGGGTTTTTTGTAATAACAGTTTGCCAATTTCAGGCTTTGTTACAACTTCATTCATTTGATTGCAAATGAGGGACCAAAAGAATTTGAATGCACATAATTAAGGATTGTGCTTGTAGGATTCCCAGTTCACTGACATTTTGTAGTGATCTGATGGGCACTTGCGCCAGGTGGTCATTGCTACATACGTCTTGTTGCTGTTGTCCTGTGAGACCTGATTTCCTTCACCCCATTGTTGTGGCTGGATCTGGGCGAAGTCGTGACCAGGAGGGCACATGTCTGGTCACAGTGGCTTCCTCAGCTCTTCCATTTAGAAGCCATGTGATATTAGATACATTAATCTTCCTGTGTGGTAGTTTCCTCAAGAGCAGAGGTAGCGATCGTTCCCCGCCTGCTGGCCGCGTGCGGCTGTCGCGAAGCTCAGCAGACAAGGCTAAAGAGGGGAACTCACGCATGTTAGTGTCACTGGCATCTATTCTCAACCCCGGAAAAAACACCTGTTGTTGGAAATGGGCAGAGCCCTGCTCTTCAGGTGACCCACAAATAAACAAGAACACCGAACAGAAACTTCAATGCTAGATCTTCGAGAAACTAAGAAAAAGGGGAAGTTGGCCTTTACGACAATCTACTGAGAAGAAAACAGACAACTCCATTCCTCTTCCACGAGATCCACAGTCAAAACAACAAGGGAGGTGCCCACTAAGGATGAGATGGGTAGGCTTAGGTTTATTGGGGGGTGTGAGCTGAGCAGGGCCACCCCTGTGCCCGGGCAACAGGTAGTGTACACAACAGAGTGACCAGCGTCGGCAGTCACCCCCCAGAGGGCTGTCCCCAAGGTTTGCCTCAGGTGCACAGTGAACCGGGCCATTGCTCCCAAAGAAAAACAGTGAAGTGAGCCTCCTGTGGGGCAGCGGAGCATAATGCCTGGGAGCAAGGAGCAGGGCCTGGATGTGCACAGTGGGATAGAGAAGCAGGACCCTTGCCTCAGGCTCTGCATGTCATCCCTCGGCTTCCACCAACTGTGATCAGAAACACTCAGCAAACATTGATTTATCCACCTGCATTCTTCCAGACACTCAATACTTGCTATCTGTCTGTCTCATCCACCTGTCTATCCACCTGTCTATAGATCCATCCCTCCATCCTTCCACCCACCCACCTATCCATCCCTCCATCCCTCCATCCCTCCATCCACCATCCCTCTCTCCATCCATCCACTACCCATCCCTCCATCCCTCCCTCCCTCCATCCATCCATCCATGGGCCCACCTATCTATCCATCATCCATCCATCCATCATCTCTCTCTCTTCTTTCTTTCTCTATAACAAGTTTCAAGGAAGAGATTGTGGGTAAAGAGAAGACAGTGAAACACGTACTCAGGCACAGTGAAGCAAGGCGTCCATTCTGCCTGGAGGAATTAGCATGAGCTTTACCAAAGTGGCAAATTTTAAACTTGCTCATGAAGCTTGAGTGGAAATTACTAGAGGGCAGGAAACCCACAGGTGAGTGGGAACTGCCAGCAGGCTGGTGAGGCTGAACTTTAGATGCATGAGAGGAGGGACAGGTTGACCCTGAGGTGCTGTGGAGACAGCTTTGGCTTGCCTGCCTCGGGGAGGAGGACACAGACACCGTGTGCAGGAGGTGACGTCCAAGGGAAGCCGGGAGACCCTGCCCCCGAGAGCCCCAAGCCAGCCTCTCCCCCGCCTCTCCCCCCATGTCTGTGTTTTATGGTGAGCTAAGAATGGCCGTTCCACTTTAAAACAGATGGAAAACAACAAAAGAAGGAGAATTAGAATCTCAGCGTTCAGAGCAGTTTTACTGGCTGAGGGCCACATCACCCGTATGGCCGGTGGCTGTTTCCCAGGACAACAGCCGGGTGTGTGGTCCCAGCAGAGACCCCGTGGCTGCCAAGGCTCGACCACTGCCAGGCCCTTCACAGAAAAATTTTCCGAGCGGGTCTAAGCCATCTCCGCTGTGTCTCTGGGCAATTTATCACCACCCTCAGGCTTTGTTTAAAACCTAGAAGTTCCAAGCCCTGAATGGGTCCCTCTCATGAGCCCCCTCTTGGTTATTCCCAGCTTCTAAATTCTCCTGAGCTCAACACTTCTTGATAATTTTTGAAGCCCCCTCTGCTCCTCCAAACCTTGTCTCTGATATGCCCACCGTGCCCACCGTTTTCTGCCCTCCCCCGGTCCAGGCCTCAACACCAGGTGGCCCGGGCTGGCCCTCAGGGGCCCCAGGACCCAGCCTCTGGGCTGGGCCTCCCGCCCTCCCCCACCTCCTGCCACCAGGCCAGCTTCTCCTGGGAATACCTGCCCTCCCACCCTGTTCTCCTGCCCCCATGCTCTCCCACATTCACCTCTGCTTCCAGAAGCTTCTCCCGCAGCCAGATCTCTCGGACAGACGCCCACCTGCACTCAGCGGCCTCCTCCCCGCCTCCTTAGAGCTGCTTGTGCAGAATGAGGGCGCAGGCACACGCTTCTGAGGCTCAGCCCCGAACCCCTCCGGCCGGCGGCAGCAGGGCAGACAGGCGAGTGCAGAGGACACTCAGCCAGCGAGCGCGTGCGACCCCAGCCAAGAATCCGGACTCTGATTAGACGCGATAAACCGCGTGAGCAAACTGCCTTCAGAGGCCACCGAACAGGACGTTCTCACGAAGAAGCGGCTTTTATGCCCCTTAGGACTCTGCATCTGTATCTCAGTTTACTTACGGGAAAGCACAGCCGTGGACCCACGTAAAGACTAGGAGTCGCTGCTACAAGTTACGTGGCGTGGGGACCCCTGAGCCCAGCCAGACCTGACGGGGCCAGGCCCCATCCGGCAGCGCAAATACTCAGGAGGCACGTCTCTGGGCCGTATTCAGTTTTGCCTGCTTTTCGTGGAAATTCAGGTCGGAAGGACACAGTTATCTATTCGCTACAGGAAATGTTATTTCAGAAGAAAGTGAGACGCACCCACTTAGTAAGACTCTTACAGGCAGTGTAGATTAATAAGGTGGAAGGTTGTTGCTCTGTTTTTCTCATTTGTCATATTTCATCACTATGAATCCCATGTCGTTTTTCGTTTTCCTGCACGAGAGGGCAGGGTACCTGAAGAGGTATCTCTCAGTACGGTGTAAGGTCGGGAGGACCTCTGATGCTGTAAATGCAAGGGTGTCATTCTAAAGGAAGGCAGTTCCATCGCATGAGTTCAGTGATGTGCTGGTGCCTAGAGGGACAGTAACACATTTTGTCTGCAGATTGATTGGAAAAAGTTTTGATTGAAAATAGCTCTGTGCGTGGAAAGAAAAAGAAAGTGCATTTTGACTTTGTTAAAGGGTGGGGGGCTTCCTCAGTTCTGGGCAGGAGGTGGCAAGAGCCGTGACGGCCTTCCAGTGCCTCCCTGCTCTGCGGCGCCCCATGGTGTCCATGCAACGAGCCCCAGAAACTGTGACTGGTCATAAAAATTACTGACACTAACGGTTTCGTAAATATCTTACCAACAGGCGATAATTATTAAAACCAAAGACCTTCATTACCCGAGAGATTTGAAGTATAGAGACTCATTTTCTTTTGGAACAAAGTAGTACATGATTGATGGCCCTTAGTGAAAGGATGCTTGTGAAATGAATGCTGTCCTCACTTTCCTCCTGGGTCGCGTGAGCTGACAGGCCCATCAATAAATTGTCCACAGTTCCATCACCTGCTAAAATTCTGGACGAGTCCCATCAACTCAGCGTAATCCAGGAGAAGTAGAATCTTTTGATTTAAATGTTTGGTAAAGTAGAGGCACTTTCCAGAACTTTGCTGCAATTTGCTGCGTAGACACACGTGTCTTGTTTACTTTGCTTTAGGAACTGAAATTCCTTCATTTCAAAACAAAACTTTTTCCTTGCTTATGTGGACCACATTTCTTTTACTGACCCAGTGTCTAGCCCTCACTAGGGGAAAAAATCCCTCATAAGTGTTAGATCATTTCTCCCGCAGTTTTTATATTCCTATTTTTATAACAAAATTGTAAACGATGTAAAGCCGCAGACTTTAGTCAATTTGGAGAGTCTTGTGAGCTGTGGAGTGGCCTTGCTGCCCTGACCGGTTTACAGAACCCAGTGGGCAGGTCCCCCTGCACGCCGCCCCCGGCCCCCCGGTCTCTGCTCAGATGTGAGACCCCCGTCCCCCCACTGCTCTGGCAGCTGCTTTGACGTGATCCTTTCATGGAGGAGAGAGGAGGGAAGGACAGACACACGGACAGTGTGAGGACTGGTCCTCAGGGCTCAGCTGACTCTGATTAGCAGAGCAGAAGTAACTCCCTGACGAGTTACTCTCCGCGTTGGGCGGGTTTGAGGGTGGGGAAGCGACCTCCGGGTCCGTGCGAGGGGCAGCGACAAGGCGACAGCTTCCCTGAGGCCGCCGTGCGCCCAGAGCATTGCCAAGCCACGTCCTTGATGTCAGGAAAGCTCAGTCTTCCGTCCAAGGTCAAAAGGTACCAATAGTGAAAGCTTAGCTCTTCTATCACTTGTATCGGAATAGGGTGCTTTGGGGCAGTTCTTGGTGGTGCTGTGATGACCACCCGTGATGTCTGTGAGGTTGTGGTCACTTCCAGACCATACCTGAGTGGGCAGGAGGGAGGTGCTGAGACGCCTGTGCCGCACGGAAGGGTGGCCTGCCGGAGGGGTCCCAGTGCTGCAGAAGGGTCTCCTGGCTCCCTGCAGCTCTCCCCTCAGAGCAATTCCTCCCTCTGCAGGGTCAGGTGAGCTGCTGACCCCTAAGCAAAGGGCATCCTGTGCCTTTAACGACCAGCACCCATCCTAATCAATCATCCAGCAATCATCTTCCCGTCCTTGTGTCAAAGGAGATTGTGAACAGCTCTAGCAACCACACTTGCTCTTGAGGGCCTGTTGGACTGTTGGGGAGGCTGGCTGTTCAGAAGGGCCCGGGAAGCGAAGCTGGGGGCGTGGAGGACGGTCGTTCCGCACGAAGGGCGGGGCTGCGGGCGCACACGGGCGTCTGCCCGTCCCCGAAGCCCTGAACGCCTGCCTTGGCCTATGTGAGTCCACACGTGTGTGCGGTTCTCTCCCCGTCACTGGCCCTCCCCCCGGGTGGCTCTTTATTAGAATCACAGAGGGAAGGGGTTTCTGTCGGGGTCTCGCCTGCACCCTGACTGGAATGCCACTCCCCAAAGCGCAGGTGCCCGCAGGCCCGCAGAGGTCCTCCCTGTTCAGCTGGGTCACCTGCACTGGACAGTGAGCCCCAAATGGCTACTGTGGCCCCTCGCAGCCGGACGGATCATCCAGTCTCTAGCGGGATGAGGGGTCTACAGGGTCCCCGTCACCCCGGCGAGCAGATGAGCGGTCATAAGGGGAACCTCCCTCCGGCGGTGATCAGGCTGGTGCGGCCAGTCGCTCCCCGCATCTTGGTGGCCGCTCCCTGACCGGGAATGCGCCCTTAATGGTTACTCAGTGGGCCCCCTGCCTCCCGCTTGAGAGCCATACGCGCTCTTCCCGCTGGTCCCCAGCTCTGCCCGTCCAAATATACACCATGTGAAAAAAGGAAAAAAGGGGGGAAAGCCAGACTTTTTCATTCGGGAATCAGCGGGTCGGCGGGTGCCGCGTCCCCGTGGGTACCTGCGCTCTGGCGTGGGCGCCCAGGGCGGGCGGGAGGCGCGGGCGGCTCTTCTGTTGCCGTGGCCCCGTGCGGGGGCCCCGAGTCATCCCTGTCCCCTGTCTCCCCAGCGAAGCGGTACTGCAAGGACGCCAGCCCCAGCAGCAGTGCCGCCAGCACCTACGCGCCCAGCAGCAGCAACCTGAGCTGCGGCGGCGGCAGCAGCGCCAGCAGCACGTGCAGCAAGAGCAGCTTCGACTACACGCACGACATGGAGGCGGCGCACATGGCGGCCACGGCCATCCTCAACCTGTCCACGCGCTGCCGCGAGATGCCGCAGAACCTGTCCACCAAGCCGCAGGACCTGTGCGCCGCGCGGGTATGGGCCCGGCGGCGCACCTGGCGGGGGCCGGGGGCGGGGCCGGGGGCGGGGGCGGGGCCGCGGCGCATCCCCACCTCCACCTCCCGCCCCCGGCGGTCTCGGCCCAGTGGTCCCGCAGGCGCCTCCCTCCCAGAGGCCGGCGCAGGCCGTGCGCCCGCCGGGCTCTGCTCGGAGGAGGCCTGACAGCGCGGGGTCCTGGGGACGCACTTTCCAGACCAGGAGAAATTGTCAGGGCTTTTAGATGAACGTTTCCATTTGGGACCCTCCTCTTTAGGACCCAGAGTCACTTCTGGAAACAGAAGGACACCACGCGGACTCCTGACGGTTCCGAGAGCTGCACAGAGAATAGGAAGCTCCAGGAGCCGTGCGCCCTGGACCTTAAGCAGAGAAGGGTGGGCAGCGCCGCGGTCAGGAGAAACGCAGGACTGCTCCCTCCCGCCCAGCCCTGGGGAACAAAGACAGTGCAGAAATCCCGTTTCCCCACGGGTTCCCAGCCAGGCAATTACAGCCGGCTTACATTAGTTCAAAACAGCATAGATGCCAAATCGGTGAGCGATACTTTGGGCGGTTCCTCGTCGATGGGCTCCTGGCATTGGGAGGAAGCCGTGCGGCCGCCGCAGCGCACAGGGCTGCCTGGCGAGACCACTAGGGGGCCGGGGACGCAGGCGGCGCGGGCGCCTCGTGCTCCCGGCCGGTGAGCCGGCACGCCGGCCCGCACCTCCTCTCCAGAACAAAGGGTCCCTCCATCGCCAAGTGCTGCTGGGCGTGCGCCTGAGCGCACAACGCTGACCGTAGTTGTTAGAAATAAGTGTAATTTGTATGAATGGAGAGAGGTCAGTAATTTTATGTTTTGCAAATGCTTTCTTCTCTATTAGTATTTTTATTCCTAGATTTTGGAGGAGTGTCAGGGGCACGCAGTTTCCGTGGAGATCAGGGCTGCTAAAATGCGAGGCTGGCATGGAGGAGATTCTGTTTAAGGGGGGAAAAAAGACACTAACCCCTTCCAGTTTTTTTCACTTTGTTAAATTTAAACTAAGACAGACAGAATTATAATCCAACACGATGAAGGCTAAGTTAGTATGAGAGCTGGAAACCAGGAGTGCACTTTGACAAGAAGAGTTCAGACAGAATAATATGCTATAATCTATCAAGGTAACAGCCCAAAGGATGGGGTTTTCCTTCCAAGCATCTCCCCTCCGCTATTGCATTCAGGGGAAAGAGCTGCTAGACATCTGAGTAGGCAGCACGTTTCACGCCAGCTCTGAAATCAAATTGCTCAAGGGAGTGTAACTCTCTGGGAAAAAAAAAAAAATGGAGGATTGTCAGGGGTATTTTGATTTTTCTTCTCTGTCCTCCATCTGCCCTTCCTTCTCTCCCTCCTCCTGAGAGGCAGGCTCTGAGGAATTCTTGATCTGCTTAAAGCATCATAAAATAAAAAAATTAAAAAAAATAAATAAATAAACACCCTGTACCTCTTCGTTTTTTCTAAAGCTGGTTGACTAAATTGCAGGTTTGCTGAGCCATAGAGCAGGTCAGCCCGTGATCGCTGCAGCAGTGCTGTGTTGGACTGAGATTGTACATCTTCCTGCTTAAAATGGAAAAGTCTCCCTCCACCATAGGTTTTGTATTAGAAAGTACATTTTATGTGGGGATTTTTGTTTGTTTTGTTTGGTTTCCTACTATATACCTAGAGCCTGTGCCTGATAGGACTCAATAAATATTTGTCCAAAAAATGGAAAAAAAAAAAAAAAAGTAAATTCTAGTTCCTCTCCTCCATTCTTCTAAATTCTTGTGTTTTCCTCCACTCCAAGTCTTGGAGTATTAGCCTCAGTGAAACTAAAGGAGAATTTTAAGTATATATACAGTTTTAGGTATTTATGTATAATCTGTACACACACATACATTTCTGAGCTCTTAAGAGGTCTTTGAACTGGAATAGAATTGAAATTAGGCATTTGTTTTTCTTCTGGCCCGGCTTATTTCTAAAGGCAAAAATGTATTAGGAAGAAAACATGTAGATCTCTGATAGGTAAGTGATAGAGAGATGATAGATAGTCGATAAGAGACAAGAGAGCGAGAGACTGATGGGTAATTAGTAGATAAGAGAGAGGCGGATGCGTGCGTGCCTCTGGCAGCCAATTTCCCAGCCGCGCGTGCGGAGCAAGGCATATGGGGGGCCACGTGCTCTCGCCTTGGGCGCTTCTACACGTGAGACTGCAGTGAGCAGTTTCCAGTTTGAACTGGCGGAAGGCAGGGCTGTGGTCTGGGGGATGGATTCTCACGGTCCCTGTGTCCTCCTGTCCCGCAGAACCCTGACATGGAGGTGGATGAGAACGGGACCCTGGACCTGAGCATGAACAAGCAGCGGCCGCGAGAGGGCTGCTGCCCCATCCTGACGCCCCTGGAGCCCATGTCCCCCCAGCAGCAGGCGGTGATGAACAGCCGGTGTTTCCAGCTGAGCGAGGGAGACTGCTGGGACTTGCCCGTGGACTACACCAAAATGAAACCCCGGAGGATGGACGAGGACGAGCCCAAAGAGATTGCTGTATGTCCTTCTCACTGACTGTCCCCCTACCCCGTCCGCTCAGCATGTAAAGTTGGCACGACTGAGGGAAAACGCCCTTGGCACACGCCTTAACAGAAAATGTCCTTCCTCTTGAGAAATGACCTTTAGCTGACTAGGGCTTAGAAGACATTTTCGGTTGACCCAGGAGAGATTTGGCACTAACACTGATCAGAGTGAAACAAACCACTGCCTCCTTTAAATGATGAGTTTTATTTTCTAACAAGTGTGTTTTGTTGCAGACGATTTCTGTAGGAAAATGTGTAAACAGCTTACTAGTTCATTTTTTCTGGGTGATAAATTGATAGAATGCAGGGTTTTCCTTGCAGGTAGGGAATTATAATGAGACTCTTAAATACTTAAAATGATTAATTCTGTGCGGTTAATTAGCTGGCTCATTGAAGCAAAGGACAGGGTCTGTTCTCTAAGAAACCTAAAATACGCAGAAGAGCCTACCTACCCCAGCCTAGAACAAACCACTTTAGTACCGTCACCTAAATCTTTGTTGACTATAATATTATCAAAACACCTATGTCAAGAACATATTTTTGAGGTAGTTACAATTTTCAAATTCAGATCATTAAAATAGCTATCCTTTAGGCTAAGAAAATAAATGAAAAAAATGTTCTTTTTTAGACTGACTTTTCCTCCAGTGTTCAACTCTGAAAATTATGACATCTTTATTCTCTGAAAAATGAAAATTCTTTTTGAACACAATAGGGAGAGCGCCATCCAAGCAATAGCATCTTTACAGAAGCAGGAGGGAGGTGGAGAAAAGGGAAACGTTAGCTATTTGTAGGAATTGGCAGGGAAGGCACCTGTTTATAAGGCATTACATCAAAAGCTTATTACGCTTATTTCAAACTGATTTAAGTATCCAGGCATCTTAAAGGAGAATAGAATCTGAGTGGCAAGCTAAATTCCAAAGTATTTTTTTTCTCCTACAGTGTTAAATCGTTACTACCAAATAAGGCATGGTAGTTGAATCTTCGAATTTATTTTAATTAAAATTAAGCCCCCATAAAAGGACAGCAGTATTTCCATCATAAGGTGTCACACAAGTGAAAACCCTTGCGCTCCAGAAACACGTTTGCTGAACATCGCCACCTGTAGGAACTTCGAGGTTACTGCAAAGGCCCCAGTTAGCCAAAGTAGGTACATTCTATTAAAAAAGAAAGAAAGAAAGAAAAAGAAAAAAAGTGTTGCCTAAGAGTATTGTAAAATCACAGCGTCAGTCTAAACTGGGCTTCCCTTGCCTTGGGACTTAAAGCACATACAATACTTCTGTGGTGTAGGATACTTACCAGAGGGTGTTAGAAGCCCCAGAGTCTAAAATATCTTTGGGTAAAAATGCTTAAGCTCCGCCCAGTGATGTTGGATAAAGTGCCGTAGGTCTTAAACCCAGGTGAGCAAGGTCCACCGAGCAGCCTCTCTGCCTGCCAGACCGCTTATCTGTCCCTCCTGTCGGTACAGCTTCAGGAATTTGAATAAGGAATTTGAATTTGCCCACTGACAGGTTACCCTAAGTTTAGGAATTTAGAGCAAGTGATGAGAAATTAAAGTCGCCCAAAGAGAGAGATACTCTTTCAGAGAAGTTGGGTTTGCATCCTCAGGGTGAGGGTGCATCGTGACTTTAAGGGTAGGGTGGGGACAGGTGGGCAATGCAGGGCAGCCATCCCCTGGGGGGACGCAGCCTCTGGTCTGTGTATCCAGCGTCATCGGTGTGGCCCTGAAGCTGTGTTCTGCCCGCAGCCGGAAGACTTGGATCCCTTCCAGGAGGCTCTAGAAGAAAGAAGGTACCCGGGGGAGGTGACCATCCCGAGCCCCAAGCCCAAGTACCCCCAGTGCAAGGAGAGCAAGAAGGACTTGATAACGTAAGCATGACGTGAGGTGAAATTATCACTCTTCTGAACCTTCCCTTTCTTTGGCTTATCTCTAAACCGGGTCTGTATATGCCTTGCCGTTTGAGCATGCGACATGCGCAGCGTACAAATGTCCCCAACTGCCAGTCGGGTGGAGCGAGAGGCCAGCCGTGGACGCGCTTGTTCTGAGCGATGCTCTGTGCTCTGGAGACACCATTTCCATGTAATCCTGTGCGTTTTGCAGCTTTTCTTCAGGGCGCTTAAATCCCTGTGCAGACATTGCAGCTAAACTGGAAACAATGAAACTTTTTTCAAGCTTTTTTTTCAAACATACTTACTATTTTGGCTGTTTTGTTTTTGTTTGGTGGCAGATGTCCAACACCAAGGTGTGATGGGAGTGGTCATGTGACTGGTAATTACGCCTCACATAGAAGGTGTGCCTTCATTTTTCTCATGGTGGATTCTGTCTTTTCAATTTATTGTTTTCAGCTTACCTCAACAATGCTGTCCAAGTACAAACGTTGAATTCTGTGTCACCCCTTTAAGTGCTATATGTTGACCTTCAAAAGCATGCTAATTGACGTGTTGTATAATGTCTTTTATTTTGAAACAAACTACCTAAATTTGGAAAGTGACTTACAAACATTGAGACCAAAGGGCACAAATATTTGAATCTTATTTTTTCAAGTTTCTGGAAAGACATGTTTCCTTCAATTTCTATGTAAACATGAATTAGTTAATTATACCAACAAAATTCAATATACAGCACTTGCCCCATCGCTTTTCTGCATTCAACTTTTTAATTTCAGTTTTATGTTGTGTTTGTTCGGGAACGTAAGCTGGGCCTCGGGGCTACTCACCTGACTCTTCCGCCCTGTCTTACAGTCTGTCGGGCTGCCCGCTGGCTGACAAAAGCATTCGAAGTATGCTGGCCACCAGCTCACAAGAACTCAAGTAAGATTTAACGAAAATCCTTCTCTTTCTAAAATCTATTCACTTGGTAGTAACAAAAAGGACGTGTCGTTTGCAAAGAAAAAAATGTCTTTAAAAAGCCACCTGTGTGCGTCAGCGCCTCAATTCAGCACACATGACTGGGCTTCAGGATATTAGTCACTTCTCTGGACAATCCATCTGCCTTTTCCCTCTCATTTACCTCCAGCTTTTTCATATCGTATCCTTCTTCTATCTTGAATTTTCTAAAGTATAGGTATTTTCTATCCAGATGTGCATGCACGTGGAAGGGAAGTTTTACAGAGTTACTCAAACTTTTAGGAAGTGATTGATTGTAATGTAAAAAGTCAAAAATTGATTTCTTAAAAGTCAATAGTTAATACGATCACTTTAAAAATGGATATTTAAATAGCACGAATGACAAAAGCCCACCATGACCGTAGCTAATTCCTTCAGAGTGCACTGTGGTTGTAGCTACGGAGACTCCTTAGGGCAGTGATAACTCCCAGTTAACCAAGGCTTTTACCGGTGCACAGACCACACGGCCCTCTCTCTCCTCTGAGCCTGTAATTTTCTCTATCTTTTCGTCATGAAACTGGTCAGCTACATTTACACCACCAGACTAAGGGTTTTCTTCTTTGTGTGTGTGTGTGTGTGTGTGTGTGTGTGTGTGTATACACACACATATATACATATATATATATATATATACACACACACACACACACACATACATATGCACATATATACATCCATATTCAGTCACTAGACAGGTTTTGGAAGAAGTCAGTCCAAGCCATTGACAGCAGATTAAGACCTTTGGTCATCTAGTTAGAAGGGATATTCAGGTGTCTGTAAGGAAAGAAGGGCAAGACTTGAACATTCCATAACATAATGAGAATCGAGATTCCCAAATAATTATTTTTAATTACCTGGCCTGTTATAAAAATCATCACGTCAAATTGCTCAGCTTCCATTTTGTTTGGAAATGGCTTTATTTCCAACGCAGAGAAGATTCTGTTTTCAGACCCTGTTGGATTCCTTTCCCAAGGACCCCACCCCGTGCTCCCACTCCCTCGAGACAGACCAGGGCATCCGCAGAGCGCGGGTTCTGTTTCACACCGTGTCGTTTTTTACAGGATCCCTGCCCAGGGCCCTAGCGCCATAGATCACCTGCTCATGTTCAGTGACCTACTGAACTAGCCCTTCCGGCACGAGACCCTGGGAGTTCTCTTCATGGCGTGTAAACACCAGGAGGTCGTCCTCTTACTTAACAGCTGTAAAGTCTGTAGCCGTCCTCGCGGTGCCTGACGGACAAATAGCTTTTAGAACCTCAAATGGACAGAATTAGCAAGAACCTCCCAGGCCGCTGTGTTAAGACCTCCTTTTTGCACGGCTTGAAACCATATTCCCCTAACGATCAAAACGTGGTTAACTGCACTTGGAACTTGGCTAACATCAGAACGTGGCAACTTCCCTTTGACTCTCTTGCTGAGGAATGCTTTGCCATCTCCAGTTCCAACAGGCCTGCTGTAAACAGGGAAGCAGCCTGTGGACGACTTGCATCTGGTGTGGCTTCTCCTTGGTGGTCTCCAGACCCCAGAGACCAGAGTGGGCTTCTGATGGGTCTGGTTTTCATGGCTTTGCATCCTCTGACTTTGGGCTTGGAAGGTTGTGTTGATCTGGAGTCCCAGGCAGACCTGCTTCTCCTCCGCTGCTGACTCTTTCTTCTTGTCCTGTCTTCTTGGAAGATGGCGTGATGGTCCGCACCATCTTCATCTTCAGAGTGATGTCCGAGTTCTCTTCACATCCTCCTGGGCGGTGTCGGGCTGTCTGTTCCCTCCGCCCTCCCTCCCTCCGCCTGGGGGTCGGGGTGGGAGGTGAGTATCTCCCAGAGGGCGATGGCTTCTCCTGATTGACGCTGATCTAAAGGCCACAGTCACCTGTAACTTGTCTTTGCAGCAAGTGAATCCCACTTCAATGGACCCTTTTTCTGGAAAATCCAAACTTGACCAATTTTCTGAAATGATTTGTTTTTAAGAATGGATCTTCAAAACTAGGGGTTTCACTTACACGTCTACTACAAATAGTCTGATGTTTAAATGACCATCTTTTACTTGACGATAAGTCTTTCTCAACTGAGGGAACCATATATTTTAATGTGTTTTTTTTTCCTTTAATCTTTTAATTGATGACAGCCCTCCATCCATGGCTTTTTCATGCGGGTCATAAAGCCTTTCCTGTGCACAGGAGCAGAGATGAATCCCTTTAGGATTTGCAACTGCTTTCTCTAGAATAATTCATGCATGTGCTCTTTTCAATAGCTTATTCTTTACATATGTATTTTAAAAGCTTTGGTCAATTTCCGCTGCACAGCCTCTTGCCTGATTGAGAGAGTCCTTGTGTGATGCAGTGATCTCCACTTCTTCATAGAGACACCTTAGGAAGTGGGTCCCAATTGCCTCAAAAATGTTTCTCGCTTCTGCAGCAGCTAAGAAATAGAACCTCCTGGGAATGTTCCCCTCGTCACTTCTGAGGTTGAATTTTGTTAGTTGGCCGTTAACAGGACATTCTTGATCTCAGACACACGAGTTTTGCCAGATACACTCTGGGTCTTGGGTCCTCCATCCTCTTAAACTTCCTGAGATAAGACCTTGCTCCATTCTCATCTAGAACAGCACATGTGGGATAGTCTTAAAAAGAAGCCGATCGTGTTGTCGAATTATGTGCAATATGTAAACTGAACCTGTATTAAAATGTAATGTGTTCGTGAATATCATTCAGTCTCTGCAACTATTGCTTTCTTGTCCCTGGTCCGTCTGGCGTAGAAAACAGGTTGGTGGCTGGGTCAGAGGCAGGTGACAGCACTGGCGGAGGGAGCCCCAGAGGCAGGCTAGGGGACCTGAGATGACCGCGACCCAGGGCCCCGAGACTAGCAGCGCCTCTCATGATGCTACACAGATGCCCAGGAACAGCCACCCCCCCAGAGGACTCCTGACTGCGACGTTCATTGAGACCCCAGGCCAGGAAGAAAACAAAAGAATGAAATTGTCCAAATGAATGTGATTTTTTTGGTGAGGACTCTGCCTGACAAGAGGGAAGTTTCTTCTCTAAAAGTTTCCTTGGCTAAGATCCCCTGAAAGAACTTGCAAATCACATCACATCATCCTCGGCCTATATTTTTGTAAGAAACCACATCCTCCCAGCCGGAAATTCTTTTTCCTACTTCCAGATGCGAGATCAGCACAGACACGGGCGTGATGCAGGTGTTTTAGCCACCTCCATGACCGGTTTAAACCGGTTAAAAACTGACTTAGATCAGAGGCAATTAGCTCTAAAAACAGGCCCCCAAATTGGCTCCCGTTCACGCTCAGTTGGCCACATTTAGATTCTCCCTTGTTATTCCTGTCTTTGTCATAGAACCAGAATCCCTGTGGTTAATGAGGGTCCTTGCAGGAGAAGGAATTGTCCGTCCCTGGTTCTCTTTACTTCTTCACCTTTGGACTTTGATTTAATCCTCGTGGGGTGGGTGGGGTCCTCCTTTGGGTTCTCTGACATTTGAATCGTTCTTGTGTGTTCTGTCTTTCCGAGGCATGTCTCCCAGGTATTTTCACCTTAGACGCAGAGGAATTTTAACCACATGCTCAAAAAAAAAACCTTGTTTAAAACCTGGTTACCTATATTTAAATAAAAGAATTAAAATTTTGAACTTAGGCCAAGATATGACTTTTCTCTAAGGGATCCCTATTTCTAGAATTTCCGAGGGCTTATTTCTTCAGCTATGCATGTCGTGCTGGCGTTGGGAGGATTATTTACCAGGGTCTAATAGAGCCTCACTCCGCCCACAGCTTCCACTCTTTCGGGTGCAGGAAGTTCACCCGCTTTCAGTGCATACCAGGTTCTGAGAACTAATCCTCATTTCGATTACCTTCCGCCTTCCCGGTTCACAGTAGTAAATCCAGGGGACTTTGTGAATTACAGCTGCCGTGGACTGAGGGCTGTGGCCTTCACAGAGGACATGTCTCTGCGTGGAAGGATGTGTGGACCCCTCTGTACAGTTAACGCCTTACAGTAGAAGTTATGCTGAGGTTCTGGCCCTCACGTTGGGGGAGGCATGTGATACGTGATCTTTCACTTCAAGGAGTACCCCTCAGACGCCCTCCTTTCAGTTAGAAAATCATTTTATTCCGTAGCAGCAGGGCCACCTGAGCACACCTGGTGCATACGCGTGAGTGTCTGTGGGGGAGAAGGGCACCAGCCTCAGGCATCTGGGGCTCATGTCACACCATAGACACGACCTGCTGGGACTCGGTGAGCAATGCACACCTGAGATTTAGACGAGGCTCGGAGCCTTCTCTGCGCGCCTGGCCCTTGAGAAGGTGGGGGGCTTGGACCCACCTCTCAGATGTGGAAACTGAGTCCGGGCAGTTGGGCAGCTCAGCCAGTAAGTGGCCGTCACCAAACTTGGCCCAAGCGCCTTTTCCACACTTCATGCTACCGTTTCAAAATTAGTGTCCCTTTAGGGGTGTTGGTTTTCGATGGAGAATTAAAGGTTTATGCTTAACTACATAAAAATACAAATTCTGAGTTTCTTTCTCTGAAGTTTTTAACTTTAGGTCTCATGCAGTGTTTTCTCATAACCCACACGGGGGACTAAACAGGGGATTGGGTCCTGTGAAGCTAAACTTCCAGGTGGGACATGACCAGCAGTCGTGGAAAACTGTTCACAGGGGTTTTGTCATCCCCAGGAAGAACCTCGTCCCACAATTTCTATTTCAACATCTGTAAAATGTTGATAAAGTTTGTGCTGCAGCATTTTTCTAAAAATACCCTAAGAAGTACAGCTTGCAGCAGATAGATTTTTATTTAACCATAAGTAAGGTCAATTTAAAATAAGTCCCATATAGGAAATTCAGGGGAGCACAATATAGGAAAACTTCTACAATAAGGATGTTTGAGGATGACTCCAGTTATACACACACACACACACACACTCACCCACAGACACACACAGCGCACACACACATGCTCACGCACTCACACACACAAATACACACATGCTCACACAGACACACTCTCACACGGACACACACTCACGCACACACAATCACATACAGTCACCCACTCACACACACCCACTCTCACATGCGCGCACACACTCTCACAGTCTCACACACATAGATTTGCACACATGCACTCACACAAACACACTCTCACACATACAATACACATGCTAACACACACACACTGACACACACAATCACATACACACCCACTCACACACATGCTGACACTCTTACACGTGTGCACATTCTCACACTCATGAACGCACACGCACAAGCTCTCACACTCCCACAACGAATGAACACACAAACACATAGTAAATAAAGCAATGCAGTGTGGCTCTGGCCTGGGTTCACTGAGTTTCTTATTAAGGGAGGGTTCTGGGGGAAAGCCTGGGTTCTTCTCTCTGTTTCTGGAACAGGCGGACTTAGCCATGTAGCGTCATAGGGCCCACCTCCCTGGATGCTGGCGCAGCTGCCAAGTGTCATTGGGTAGTTTGCTGTTGTAACTGGATCTGCCAGGAATCTCCCTTCCTGCTACTTCTCTTTCTAATAGCCGACATTAGACTCACATTATTTAAATCCCTTCTTTTAATATTTATTTATTTATTTGGTTGTGCTGGGTCTTAGTTGCCACAGGCATGCTCCTTAGTTGCGACTCCAGGGCTCCTTCGCTGCGGCTTGCGGGCTCCTTAGTTGTGGCATGTGAACTCTTAGTTGTGGCACATGGGATCTAGTTCCCTGACCAGGGATCAAACCCGGACCCCCTGCATTGGGAGCATGGAGTCTTAACCACTGTACCACCAGGGAAGTCCCTAGACCCAGATTATTAAGGGAGAGTTCCAGGGGTTTGAGTCTGGGGTTATGTTTTAATCACCTTTAACCATTTTCAGATGCAAATCGACAAAAAACAAAACAAAGCAAAAAACACAGGAAAACGTTGATATTTAATTTATTTTATAAAGGGATCTACGCTTTACAAAAGCAACTGCAGAGTTCTCTGGCAGTATTTGAATGCAGTCTAGGTGTGTTTGTCTTTGGTTTGTTTATTCTCCACCATCTTCCAGGTTTGGGTGCAGGTTATGAGGAAGTTTGCAGAGTGAAAAACCAGACTTCAGTCGTCAAAGAAAGGCACAGGTGTAGGAGGGAAGTTGACTAATCAAGACACAGCTTTGTACCAATAAACTCTTTCTGCAAAACAAAACACAGAGACCGGCCTCTCCCGTCAGAGGGGCGTCAAGTCCTCATCTGTGAAATGGGAGAGTCCTGGTACCCGGCTCACTGTAGATGTTCAGTTATTGTCACCGTCACCACGGCAACACACGCAAGTCCCACAGCTCGTGTTAAACTGCTGGGCTTTGTGACAACATTAAGCAGAGTTCAAAGGAGGAAAATGTAAGCGTTAGTTTAACGTTTACTTAATGACTTCTGTGACCTCCCTGAAATAAGGGGAACTTTAATTCACTCCAAAATCTTCTGAGCCTCTAGCTTTGGGGACTTTATAGCAAGTCCTTTAATTTAGAAAGAAAAATAAAGAGAAGAAAGACACTGCGGCAGTTACATCCGTTGGAACCCTGGGGGTGGGCGGTGATTGCAGAAAGGGGCGCCTGTGTGCTGGGCTCTCCCTGCCATGTTTCTGTAGTGCCTTGTGTATGTGTGTGCGTGTGTGCGTGTGTGCACGTGTGTGTGAGTGTATGCAGGTGTGCACGTGTTCATCTGCGGGCCAGCACATGTGTTCTCACATCTGGTTGTCGCCATCAGCGTGTGGGCGGCATTCTGCTGCCCCGGGAATCATTTCCTCCCCTCTGTGCTCACATCCCCTCAGTAAAGAGGGATGTTCTGCAGAGTCCCTGAGCCTCGAGTCGGAAGCAAAAACCGGGAGAGGGCATCTCCCGGAAAACCATAAACAGAGCTGTTTCATTCTTTCGTTTTAAAAACTTGTAATCCGCACCCAGAGATAAGACACCATTTCTGCCCTCAAGGCACCATGGCCAGTCCCGTGCAGGGCATCCTGGGAGGCGACCATCGGGGTTGGGGGGTGGCTGGGGAGCAGAGGTCGTGGGCCAGTGCCTAAGCTCAACTGGTCCAGGCGCAGGCAGCAGACGGACACACTGAGGCCGGGAGGAGGCCGTGCTGTCGGGGCCGCGGAGGGGCCAGCGAGGGGCCGGGCAGAGCCGGCTGCGGGGAGCATGGTCCGGGCAGGGGACCGGAGCCCCGAGCGCCGCTCAGCCGGGTTGGGGGTGGAAGCAGAGGGGAGTCAGCCGTCCAGGCCGAAGCAAGGCTCATTGCAGGCGGTCTGTCATACTGAGCACCGCCCCACGGGAAGGTGCCTTGGCTTGGCCCCCTGCGCTCTTAGGGATCCCTTCTCTCCTCAAAATGAGGGATTTGCTGGGTGGGCTGAAAGGCTGCCGTAAAATCCGGGCTTCGTCGGCTCGTAGAAACTGAATTTTTAAGTTGTTCGTTGGTGCCTCATCACCCATTTTCATTGAAACTAAATGAAACATGATGAATGTGGACCAGATCCCCGATCCACTAGCAGCCAAGTCACAAACTAATTAAAGTCTTGTGTGAAAGCTCTGTAGGTCTGAACCATCCTCCTTAGGGCTCCTGGTCGAGGGGTGTCACTGCAGCAACCCCTGCTCCCCGGCCCTGGAGAGGCAGCATCCTTTTTTGTTACCTCAAGTGTGGATTCAGCTGGCATCCGTGTTTCATTTCACCTTCAACCTGCCTTACTTGCTGTCTTCTGGGCTAAACCAATCTGTCCTGTCACCTGAACAGTCCATACACTGGCCATTTTAAAACGAGCTGACAGTGGCCACTGTGTCTGACCTGAGAGGAAGCCCTCCCGGGGATGGGGCTGAATTTCTAACTTACAGCTGGCCTTGAGATTTTCATGTTTTTTATTGTGAAAAACTTGGGGAAGGTTTTAAATCCAGAACAAGGCCACGAAAAAGGCCTTCCTTACGAAATATTTCTTAGCATTCCATTCCTCCGTTTTGAAATGGTGAAATTTTAATACAGATACCAGACAGTACTGAATGATACTATTTCTAAATAAATAGAACACAATTTGTCATCTAATCCAAACTAAAATAATCCACCTACTACAAACTATTTGAAAATGACTCTTTGAATAAATTCATTTTTTAACTGCAAAATTACTTTCTTTATACAATTGAGAATATAAACCATACAGCATATTTGGTACATGTGAACAGAAGGAAAAAAAATGTTTTCCTTACAATTTTAAATACTGCCATTTTAAAGGTACTTTAAATGTATGTACATATGTATTTAAATATGCTGTGTGTCAATGTGTAAACACACACTTATGTGAATACATGGATTTTGCTGCCTGTGTTGTCAGGCCAGGATTCAAAGCCAGACACATGGCCCTTCATAAAACGTGTTGAATTGGCTGAGTCCTCTCCATACATTACATCTAGTTAAATTTGGCCTTTCCTGATTATTGGGAATCTGGTCCCATTTTCATTTCATTCTGGGCTCCTCTGGGGCAGTTCTGACAAATGGTCTTCCTTCAAGCTCAGCGGCTGGTCACCACCCCAGCCCTGAGCTACCAGAGAAGCTGCTTCTGTGAAGGAAATGAGGGTCTGACCAGCCAGGAGCAGGTTACGTTGGCCTTTAATTGTAAATTTGAGGTTTTATTCCCGTAAACACTTCACTAATTTATAGTTTCCTCGAGCAAAATGAGCGAATCTGGAAATAAAGTAGACGTTCCCTTTGGGAAGTTACCAGCAAGGATTTCGGAGGGCATTTTTTGCTAGCGATTTCAGGAAAGAGAACCATCCTCTTTGGGTTTCTTTCTTGATTGGAAAGACTGGCTCTGAGCGGGTGAAGGGGGTGTTTGATGGGCCGAGGCCGGCCTGGGAGCCTGGATGCTTGTAGGGAGTGATCCCACCTGTCTGCGCATTTGACCCGTCTGTGTATGTAACGTACCTGTGTACTTGTCCCTAAACGTGATCCCTGATCTTCCAGGAGCCACAATTCAAGGAAAATCACATCCCTTCTATTCCATTCTCTCTTTTTTGCATTTGTACAAAGAGAGACGTGTTCCAGACACCTGTGGATTCTGCTTAGCTGTCTGCAGGTGGTCCGCGTGCTTAATCCTGTTCTCTGTCCACAATAATCCTGCTACCTTCAAAGAGAATTGGAGAATATTGGGATAGTAGAGAGAGACGAGAACTCCCACTCTTACCTGACCTTTTTAAGGAAACAAAAACTTAAGTGCAAATACTTTCTTAATAATCAAAATGAAAATGTGATCTGGCTTTACAAAATGAGTTTCTAACTTACACGACTGTCCAGCAGCACTTTGTGGGGTGATGGGGATGCCCAGGAGGACAGCCTCAGCCACACGTGGCTGCTGAGCGTGCGAGGCCACTGGGGCTGAGGAACGCATTTCTAATTGCACTTCGTTTTCTGAACTCAGATTTAAGTAGCCACACTGTCAAGCGGACATCCTTAGTGGACAGTGCCACATGGAACCTTAGACTTCATGGATACTGTTCGTCATATATACTCTTACTACATTTTAATACACATTCAGGAATATTTTAGTCCTACAACTGAAAAGTTTATGATTTTTTTAGCGTCTGTGCCCTCAACATTTTTGTTATATTATTAAGCCATTGACAGAGAGGTTAGCCCTTTTATATTTACATGCTGTCCTCTTTTTAATTTAATGCCATTTATAGACAGATTAAAACTAAATATTATATTAGCTTCACAGTGTGTTTTCAGAATAGAATATTTGCATGTTACACCAAAACCTCACTGTTTCGGACCATTCGGGCAGTATTCAATACAAGGTAGTGGAGAGCCTCTGTTATGTTACTTTAAAAATATGTTTGACTTTATTACTTTCAAACTTGTACAGAGATTCAAGTCTAGTTAAGCAGGTGTCACCAAAGGGAGCTGTGTAGGCACCCTAA